GGGAGCGGGTCCTCTTCTACGGAGTCCGCCATGTTGAACCGCCATGTTTCTACAGAAGCCCAAAACAGACAAACCAAACACTGGCTGGTTGCGCTGCCCCCGTGGTTTCTCCAACACGCTTGGAAGGCAAGTGGTATTCAAATGGTTGCAATCTGCAACTTCCCTGTTAGATGCCACCAAATCCTGCACACTGGTCCTTTAAGCAAATAATTAAGACATTCTGAAATAAATAATCACACGAATGAATAAATGCGCAGTGTGAGTTTCAACTCATTTGTACAACCCTCTACTGTTTTCAGCTCAGAAATATTTACTTTACAATACTAAGAAATGAGTAATACTTCATTGGCAAACACTAATGTCACTTCGGAGCTGAAAAAGTACTTAAAAGCTCTCACTGCAAGGGTTGTCAAATTGAAAAGGGTCTTTGTTTTAAGAACAGTGAGGAGGCCCTGAGGGACACTAGACCAAAATATTAGGGGGATTTTCTCAGCAGATCCTAGAAAAGCCGGCAGCAGTTGTGGTTGCGTTTCCCTAACAACACACTGTATCAGAGACACTGGGATATTAAAGGGGCCTTCCTCTGCTCAGTCAAGCAGTACATCTAAACTGTTGTAGTGGTGCTGCCACTCAAGCAAGTTTGATCTCCTGGATTTGTATCTTCACACAATTTGATGCCATGCTGCTTTCAGCCTCAAGGGGGCAGGAGTGCACTACTGGTGTATGTTTGAAGAAATACTCTAAACAGATCCAGGAGGAACTTCAGCTTGATCTCCATCTGTGGCATTAAGGTGGAAACCATTAAACAAGGGGGTGTATAGATCTACATGCTATGAAAAGTTCAGGATGGTTTATAAAAAATGGACTGCACAGGATATTAATTTAAAACATTTTGATTCATTTTATGACAGAATTTAAAGGGTCTTATTGGAATACCAATATTTCAGTGATCGTACAAATTTAGAAGGCATAGTTAAAATTCAGTTTCGGCAGGATTAGTTTAACTCACTGCTGAAGAGAAAAAGGCTCTGTGTTGTAGGTGCGTTTGTGCACAGCCTGGAGGCAGCAACAGAGGAGAGCATGATGATAACAACTGAACTCTGTGTGAACTCCTCCTCGGACTACACTTCCACCTCCTCTCTAGTAAGCTGCAGAGCATCCTCAGCCTCTGTTTCATTTCACCCCCCTCCCCAAGGAGCACAGAGTGCTCTTTGTGTTTCGACACGCATCAGGCTTTACAATGCTCTGTGTCCAAATGGCCCCAACAAGTAGGAGAGATCTCAGGTAGAGTGTCTGTGTGGATTAACTGACTTGCTCTTTGGTCTCACCCCAGACAATAAATGTCAGCCTTTCGTCATTTCAGTCTGTTTCACAATGATATTTCTGCATGTAGGGACAAATATACACACTAATTGGCATATATGCAGTGAGCTATCAGAGGTGCACTTGAAATTTGGTCAAGAAAAGCTCATAAGTGGCCCTAAAATTGAAGCTTACTTGTCAGACTATAAACAGTTATAACACCAAGAGCAGGCACATCAACACCTCCCAAAAAAATCTCACAAGAAGCAGCTGTGATTGGAACAGTGACGGGAAGGGTCGTGGTTAAAGACCTTCCACACAACCGCAGGTGGTTTCAGTTCCGGCCAAACAGGTTTACCAAAGCTAACAGGAGAGAGGCAGATGTCAATCAAGTGCACGTCCATGCGGAGACGTCTTATTAGTCAGTGGGGTTTTCCCAAGCGGCAACCTTTGGGGATATAAAAATTAGGCCAATGCAGAAGTAAGAAAAATTGCACTTCCTTTAACAGTCACTTGAGGCTGGCTTCAGATTTAAGTCAATCTCCATAAGGCCCCATATTAAAATGGCCAACTTTACAGCAGAAATAAACATGTTTACAGCCTGGTACAAAAACGGTTTTGATCTCTAAAGTTAAATTCTCTGTTGAAGACAACTGTACAGTGCATGATTTTTTATATAAGTTACCCGTTTCAATTGTATTAAGGCTAAAGTAAAGCAGAATTAAGGGGCAAGGCCACTTTAAGTGACAGGTCGGTGCATCTCAGGTGGCTTTTTTCATTGTTTTCATTCGGCCCGCCTCAGCTCCACCCACGCCTTTGCCCATTTTTGGATTAGCCAGGAGCTGGCAGAGTTAGGGATGCTGACAACACACTGAGCTTCACAGCGGCTCCTCAGAAACCTATGGGTGACCTCACGGAGTCTAGACCAGGTCCATTTTGTATACAGTCTGGGTTCACCACTAAGATTACTCCACTGGTCAAAGAGCAGGTTTAAATAATAGCAGGCATAGCAACAGTTGCTAAGCATTTAGCCATCATACTCTCAACTCACCTATTCATCTTTTATACAGTAATTAAGCTAATTAATTTCACAAAACCTAAAAAGAATTAAACAGTTTGACAGAAACTACTTTTCTTCTTTTAAGAAACAGAAGACGTCATTGTTAACAGAAAGCCAGAGTGGGTGTGGATTTATCACAGAAATACACTGCAATAGTTCAGGCAGCAGCTCCATTTAAACTTAAAGACTCCAATTTAAAAGTTCTCTCTTTATCCCATTGCTTTCACAAACAATGTGTCGATGATGCACAAGCTTTAGAAAGTATGCAGCAAATCTGCTTTATACTGTATCTTTAGGGAAATAGCTGAAAACAATGGCGATTTTGTCAGTGACACACATTCACACCTGGAAGCCGCCCAGTATATATATATTTATTTTTGTTCAATTTATGAAATAACACAAAACAATGCATGAATCTTTGCTGCAAATATTGTGTTTTGTGTTCCATAACCTCCGTGGCCGTGTTAGCATCTTTTCAATAAAAGAAAATCACCAAAATGTGTTATTTGTTAGGGGGGGTACTTTCGCATTACAACTGTAAATACTTTATTCATCCCGTGGGGGAAATTCATTTATCCAGTAGCCCTAACAGTTAGTATCAAAATACAGAATAAAGACAATAAACAATAGAAGATGCTAATAACACGAGTTATGGTTTTAACCCTATTTTAGTAAATTAACAGATTTATTGGTAAGTGTATCTCAGCTTACGCCATAATTCATTTTTAAAAGCTACATCTAAAAATTAAAGGAACATAAAGTAGATCAAAATGTACGTTTTAGTAACTCACAGGATTTTGAATGAGACAAACAGACCTATATCCTATAGAATTATACAATTATAATAATGTAAAGTCAATCCTATAGGATTATAAATGATGAAAATCCTATAAAAGTATCACATTTTGGAAGTATATATTTATTCTATAGGATTGGTTCCAAAGTTTCTAAGTGGAAATTCATTTTGGAATCCAATAGGACTTTGTGGCTAGGGTGGTTAAAGCAGAGTGTCATATAAATAAAAGAGATGAATAAAAGTTGCCAATAAAATGCCCCACCCAGTCCTTGGCGGATTTTTTGCACAGCACCTTGGGTGAGGGTGGTGGGTAGAGAGAGAGAGAGAGAGAGAGAGACAGAGAGACAATGGCTGAGGGCCTTTGCTCAAGGGCACCTCAATAAATTCATCAGCGTCATATAAGCATCCAAGTGAAAGAGAGTTAAGTATTTATGACAAAGGAGATGCTTGATATTCACTACGGCACAGAAACTAGTCTTAGGTACATTTTCATTAGTGTATAATCACCTGAAAATAAGAATTGTCACGTTTTAGTTACCTTAGAATGAGCTGTTTTTATCTACAGACGCCGTAGGTTGCCTTCCATGGAGTCTGCCATGTTGAACCGCCATGTTTCTACAGTAGCCCAGAAGGCCAGAGACAAACCAAACACTGGCTGTAGAAAGGAGGTGAAGCGATGGAGTGTCGATATGCAACTGTGCTTTAATTAAAGGACGTGACAAAAGAGATTGAGACCTGAAATTAATATAATGTTTTCAAATGTTTTAAATTTTCAGTTTCTGATGAAGTACCTTATAATCAGCTAATTGAAACACATAATAATGACAAGTGTGGTTTATCACCATTACGCTGTCCCTGCTGAGAGGAGGAGGCAGAGAATGATTGGATTTTCCATCACCACATCGCTTTGTGTGTTATGATGGCAAAGACTGAAATAATAAAACACTGTAGCCTTTTATTCTCAATATGACGGAGATCATTTTGTTCTGCTACACAGTTAAATAGCAGCAGAGGTTGAATAGCATAGTTATGGTGCTTCTAGTTCCCCTAGCAGAATCCTGCCTAATATTTGCTGTAGTTAAGATTGTCTGAGGTGTTGTTGTGGTGCATGTTCAGCTGATTTAGCCTTTTACTGATTGAGGAACCGCCTGCACTCTCACACTGATTTATTGTTTAAAAGGAATATGTTCCCTTTTTTGGTGCAGAGTTTCTAATTATTAATCTAATTAATCATTACACTTTACTGGAAATTCCTACAAGGAACTCGAAAGCAAACTTAGCAGCAGCAGCACAAACAACAACTTTAAATCCATGTCCCTGTAGCTTTGTTATTCATGCAAACAACACTCAGATAAGATCAGTTAGTGATCTGTGATTTTGAAGAGATTATAAAGAGAGCAGGTGAGAAAAGTAGAGAAATGTGAAATAGCAAGTTTGCTTGTTGCTCTATCAGGGAGAGTCCATGAGCCACGTTCAGTTCCTGATTGAGTAAGTGAATTAGAGGCAATGTCCCTCCCTTCCTCTTTCACTCTGCCGTGTTGGTAAAGACTGACAGACTGACTGACACCGCCTGCTCCTGACAAACTACTGCTTCAGGTAAGAGTGGGTGTATAGTCACTGGAATTTACAAATATATTGTATATACTGTGGAGATTTTCTTACTTACTCTCTATCATGATGGTCCATTTACCACTTTAATCACATTAGATTCCAGTAGGGATAAGCTTTCTGAAGTGATTGCGATGAGTTGGGTGGAAAGGGTGTGCTTACCAGCTCAACTTCAACTGCAGTGTTATTTGGGTGGATATAATCTGACTTCAATAGTTCAGTTTTCGTACACTGAATGTGCAAAAATAGTACACGCATTTAGAAGCAGAGTTAAGAAGAAGTATTACGTGTTAAGAAATTGTGCTAAGAGGTTGCAATGTCAAAAAAAAACACACCTTCCCCCCTCTATTGCACTTCTGAGCCACATAGAAATGTCCTTAAGAGAACTATCCACTGGAGGTCACATGTCTTAGATTTTGTCAGTTCAGTCTGTCTGTAGCACTACTCAGTCTGTTCTTAGACACAGTCAGAGCCTAAATATTCTACACTCGCAACATACTGATCCAAGTTCAAGCAACATCACCAGGACAAAGAAAGCATGAGATAGACCTGGTTAGATGTTTTTCATTCCTCAACCATTGCTGGAGCTCTTGATTGTGGAAAAACAGCACGTGGCAGCCATTAAACCTGAAATATTGCTATTGTAAATGTGTCTTGAAATGCAATGACTTAAAGTGTGTTTTTCTTCTGTAAAGTCTTGAAGATTTCTACACTGATTGAACTATCCACGTTAAAAATGGACAAAAATGGCAGCCTTGCTGTTTCATCTCTAATTTAATCATGTGGTCATGTGGTTTCATGTGGCACTGACAGTCAGCTCTTTCACAAGCCTCCACTGAAGCAGGAATCCCCAGCCTAAGGCTGTGGTAACTGCTAGGGAAATAATGCACTTTTCACCCCATTACATTTATTTTTCATATCATGATTTTATATTTCAAAAATACCCCTAATCACCCACGTAACTGCGTCTCTGTGTAAACACACAGCTAGCTTAATGCTAAGAAAACAGTGCTGAAAATGTCCTTGTTGGAAAGGACAAACCACTTCCACCACTTCTGCAAATGTGACTTCACTGTGGCTCTTCAAGTGTTCACGTCTTCACAGTGTTTGAAGACAGAGCCTGAATCTCACATTGTCCTGATCATGGAGAGCAGTACAGGTGGATAATAATTAGAGAAGGAAAAGAAGGAACTATGCTATAAGGAGAGGCTACTGACACAAGTAAGGTGTGATGATGATCCATGAATGGTATATATTAGTGAAGAATAAGGAACCAGTAAAAGTAATTTATAATAAAAAGGAAAACACTCTTGGATTACTGCTTCCCAAACATTCTTTGCAGAACACAACACAAGCAAAAGGAGAAAGTTTTCCTGGTTTATGGTCATGGTCAATTTAAAAAAAAAGAAATCTTGTCCTTTTTATCTCCCGACAGTCAAGATGTTCCTGTGCTGTTGGCTGGCTCTGGTGGCTTTGATTCCTACGACCCTGAGCATCAATCCCGGGGTGAAGGTCAAACTAACAGAAAAAGGGCTTGAATATGGTAAGCACCAGTTTCTTATTTTAGTTAAAAGCAACAACCTTTCAGAGATTGATCATCAAATGTTCTTGCCTCTTGCTAGGCAGAGCCCTTGGAATGGCTACAATTCAGCAGAAACTCAAAACCATCAAAGTGCCAGATATGTCAGGGAAACAGAAGGTGTCTCCCATTGGCACGGTCCAGTACAGCCTGACAAAGTATGGCTCCCCTTTATCCAACTTCCTGTCAATTCTCTCAGATACTTAAGGTGGTATTTCCCTGAGTTCCTTTACAAACAAATGTTGTTTCTTCCAGTATGCACATAGTGAATGTGGGATTACCAAAGTCTGCAGTGGATCTAGTGCCAGGGACTGGTGTCAGACTGTCCATTAGTAACGCCTTCATCAGTCTGCAGGGAAACTGGAGGGTCAAGTACCTCAGAATAATGTGAGTAAGAAAAGATTTCTTCCTTCTGCAGCGCAGTTAAATCCATTTTATGATATTTCTGGTGCAGCAGTGACTCCTCTCTCTCGACAGAAAGGACAGCGGCTCTTTTGACTTGAATGTGAACGGACTCACTATCACCACAAGTATTGACATCAAGAGTGACGAGACTGGCCGACCTGCGGTCAGTAGTGTAAACTGTGCGGCCACTGTCGGCAAGGCGAGCATTAAATTCCACGGTGGAGCCAGGTAAAAGAAACCATGCTGTGTACTACGTTTGAATCCTCATGTGAGGGAATGGAATGTGAGTTTTCAGTTGTACTTCTCATGCTTGACGTACTGCATTCTCCCCTAAATCCTGTGTTTGCTTTTTGTTTCAGTTGGTTATACAATCTCTTCAGTAAGTTCATTGATAAGGCTTTGCGAAATGCACTGCAGAACAAGGTGAGGGCAACGCAGCCTTATACCCACTGTTTGATGATAACCATTCCTCTCTAGGGTTGCTTTCACAAAGTCTCTTATTTTGGCACGAGGAATCCTCCTAAATGCAGCTAAAAAGTTCCCAACTAGGAATTTCCTCTTTGGCTGATGTGTTCACAAAGCTGCTGAGAGCAACTTTTACAAAAGAACTGAAAGAAACCATGGAAGAAGTATTCACAACCCGTTCCCACTCGTCAAATACTGACGCAAGCGGCCTTCAGTTGCAATCTGCAACGTCACTAAATCCTTCACACTGGTCCTTCAAAGCAGCTACAAGGAACTTTCATTTTGGGTTGATTCCTCGTTGTCTGATTACAAGGAGTATCTGACCGAATCGAAATAGCCAATCTTCTTGCTGATGGTCTTTTGTTTATGTAGGTCACACAGAGGTGTCAGTATTAAACTGAGGCTGTTTCATAACATAACATAAGCTAAAAATTCCTTGTTGTGTGTTAAGTAAAATACCAAGGCAACAATGTAAAACTACTAAATTCAAATTCAGTCGGGTTCAGGTTTTGCAGAAAAATGGCCCTTGTGAGTGTCATTCCATTATTAGATTGCTGACAGTGCTCTATCAATGTGTAAGCAGCATTGTGTGTTCTTTATACAGTTTAATTGTTTGGTCCCGTGGTTCCCAACTTTGGGGTTAAGGCTCCCTCCAGAAGGAAAGACAAATACATAAGTCCTGATACACAAATTTGTGTTAATTTTTAGGATTTGTTTTGTTTGTTTTTTGTTAAACATTAGATAATTTTACCTCTTTGGGTCTTGAACAGTAATTTAAATAAAACCATCAGAGACGTTTAGAGGGGAAATCAGTCTTTCAACTAGTTACTGTCATATATAAGGCGTCACAAGCCAAAAACACTGGATATCACCAGTTAATTCTTCTAAAATGTTTATTGAGTGTGTTTTTATTAAGTATTTAGTAACTAGTAACTACATCTGTCAGATAAATGGAATGGAGTAAAAAGTACATTTCCTTCTGAAATGTAGTGGAGTAGAAATATAAAGCAGCAGAAACTGTGACTCAAGTAAGTAACTCATAACTGTGCTTGACAAATACTTTCCACCACTGGCACATAGGTGTAATGCAAATATGCTCTGTGAATTACTCTTAAAACCAAAAACGTAGTAGAATCTTGAAGTCTCAACTTCCTCTCAACTCGGCCAGTTGGGAACAACTTTTTGTCTTAGAATGCTTTGTGAATACAGCCACTCCAGAAAATAAGCTTTCAGAAGAGTGCAGAAGAAGAAACTGCAATCATACAGATCTGACAGAAAAATTTGTCTGAATTCAGTAACTAAACTAAACTGAGTCAGACATCATCACAAAATAGCAGTAACTGTTGATGAAACATTCTTTTAAAGGAATATATTCCCCTGTTGTTGGTTTACTGAGAACAGTTTGATTCTGAAGAGCTCTGTATCCATTCTGGGGGGCTTTTAAGAGTTGTTTTCTCCAGTCAGAAATTACTGTGTAACAACAAGTTTGTTCTGGACTCCAGGAATAACTGTTTCTCTGTTCTTTACTGTTGCAGATCTGCCCTCTGGTGGCTGATGCAATCTCTGATTTGAACCCTCATTTGAAAACTCTCAATGGTAAAACATTCTCTTTATGTCAAATATTTCGATGTTTCATTGATGCTGAATATCTGAGAGACTTTCTACCTTTCTGCAGTTTTAGCCAAAGTGGACCCATATGCAGAGATTGAATACTCCATGGTGTCATCGCCCACAGTTTCTAAATCTTCTATAGACTTCAGCTTGAAGGTAACAAATTGTATACTGTACATTTTATATATCTGAAGTTCAGTTAATAAAGAAATAGACAGTCATGGCACAACCTTTCTTTGCCATTTAGGGTGAATTTTACAACATTGGGAAGCATCAGGAGCCTCCATTCTCCCCCAAACCCTTTTCCCTGCCGCCCCAGATCAACAACATGTTGTACATCGGTGTGTCTGCCTTCACCATCAACTCTGCAGCCTTCGTCTACAACAAAGCTGGAGCCCTCAGCCTGGCCATCACAGATGACATGGTGAGCTTCATCCTCTTGATTATTCCCTAATTATATCTACTTTCATGGTGTCGTACTGACCTACAACCTTACTGGCTCTGTCAGATCCCGCAAAGTTCTCCCATCCGACTCAACACCAGAACGTTTGGAGCCTTTATCCCGCAGGTGACAATACAGTATGATGGTTTTATACTACGCGCTATCTTCTTCTGCAACCGGTCAGCTATATCTCGGCGTATTTTCAGATTGCCAAGCGTTTCCCAGGTCTGATGATGAAACTGCTGGTGAAGACGGTGAAAGATCCCATCATCACTTTTGAAACCAACAACGTGACGGTTCAGGCCATTGGGACGGTGACGGCCTACGCTATCCAACCCAACGCCACACTTTCCCCTCTCTTTGTCCTAAACATGGTAGGTTACACAACTGGGAAAAAAGCCAGCTGTGTTGTTTAGAAAAATGCTAAAACTCTCTCACCATATTGCCTTTATAGGACACCAGTGTCAGCGCCCGAGTGTACGTCAGTGGAGTGAAGCTGGCTGGAGCTGTCACCCTAAACAAGTGAGTTACTAAAAAAATCACTTCTTGTTCTGAGAAGAGAAAAATGGGGCCAAAAGGTCCCCCTAAAGATGAAGATCACAGTCTAATTTTGCCTAATTTGCACAGAATGGATCTGACCCTGGGGACAAGTTATGTGGGAGAGTTTCAGGTGAGAGCTCAATTCTAAACACGAGTCGCAGTGTGTACAATCTGTACCAACCTAACAGACTAATCCTAACCCTAACCTGCAGGTGGGATCCCTCGACAACATCCTCCAAATGGTCCTCAAAGTGGTAGTGATACCTAAACTGAACGGTGAGTCCTTTCATTTTCAGTTTGTACTGTCTATAAATGCTCTACTGGCGGACTTCAGTTGATTCTGAACTCTGCAGCTAGCGTGCTATATAAAACAGAAAAGAGAGAATATGTTAAGCCAGTTGTGGTCAGGCTGCACTGGCTTCCTGTAACTCTTAAAATTGATATTAATTAATTTCTTATATTCAAAGCTAAAAACAGCCTTTGATAAAGTTTTCTTTATTATTTTATGTCGCATCACACCCTCTTTGATCATCCTCCTCTGTTAATTGAATAAACGTCCTTACACCCCCGTCAGAGGAAACTGGGATTGTGGCTTTCTGTAAAGCAGCTATAATAGATACATTTAATAATAATAATAATACTACTAATAATAATGTATTAAATGACAATGGGAAAACAATATGAAAGAGGTCACTCATAGTGTTGAACTTACACCTTCATGGAGCTCAATAGTGAGTTTCAGCTCATCGTTTAGCTGTTGGCCCACACAATTACTGTTTTGATTCACTTCCACTGTAAGAGTTGTTTTCAGCCTCAGCAGGCAGCTGTTAAAGAAAAACCCACCATACACTACCTGCTCAGCAGCAAACAACAGACAGACACAGTTAGAGACTAACTGGTGAACATAGTGGAGCATCTAGCAGCTAAAGAGCCAGATATTTCCTTCAGGAGTTGGTGAAGACCAAAAACAGTGCTAAAAGAGAGTGACTTTTGGACTTCAAATGAATGATAATGTTGCATTGTGACTGCTGGATGTGTAAATTTACTATTTGCTATAGTTTGTCATATAAACATGAAAGATGATGTTGCATTCAAAACTTGTTTCTGCTGCCCCCAAGGGGAGAACAAGTTGCGGTAAATAAAAAAAATAAAAGACTATTATTAAATTTCTAGATTTTTATTGATATTCAGGTTTTTAACTTTTAGAAGTCGAAACTAGTTTTTTGTTAGACAACAATGTCTGGATGGTTGCATGAATATTTTCTTTTGTATTTTTTTGTTATATTTAATTAGATTGCACCAGTTCTAAACTCACTGATTCCTCTTAGATTAAAGTTTATTTGAACAGTGTGTGTTGTAATTCTTGGTGTAATTCTTTTTTATGTTTATCTTTTTATATAAAGCACTTTGAGCTGCATGGCAAGGCATTGTTCCATGTAATTAAAATTAAACAGAAATCCCCTGATAATAATATCACTATAATGTTTGCCACATTGGATTTTTGTAACCAAATGTATGATTTTCTTCTTCGCAGTCCAACTTGCCAAGGGATACCCACTTCCTACACTTGGAAAGATGAAGCTTGTGAACACTCAGCTTCAGGTTCTGAAGGTCAGAGACTATCTGCCATAAAACCCCAAGTTTTTAAGCAAGCTGCATTTATTATATGATATGGATTTTAATGAGAGCAGTGGACTTAGTAGAAAACATCAGCATTCATCCTTTTCAAAGCTGTTACTAACTGCTATTGCTGTGCTGTCTTTGTCTCTAGGACTATATGCTGATTGGGACAGATGTTCAGTTCACGGGTTGAATGGAGTTCCTGGAAACTCCCAGGGTTCATTTCTGCACTGGGGCATCCCACCATCAAGACACAATCACAACCTGTACGGCTACTCAAGAAGAAAAAACAAATGATGCTCTACACGCCTGAGAAATATGTCACAAAAATCCTGTTTCTCTCCTTAGATTTTTTTTATCACTCTTCTGTTTTTTTTCTGTTTTTTTTAATACTGTTTTTCTTTTTCTTTTTCTTTTAAATGTGAACTCAGACGAGGTTTTGTAAATATAAAACGCGGATGAGGGCAGTGAACGGGGATTATTGCAGTTGTGTTAGAACAGGACACAGTCTGAAGGACAGGGTTTGAAGTTTCTCACGGCAATCATCTCTTTTTGCAATAACATGCTCCTTCCAAAGCAGATCACAGCACTTTCTGCTGCTGACTTTGGGCAAATTCTTTCTCAAACTTTCTGACTTTGTAGCTCACGGAGCGATTCTACAAATGTGCTGATCCATGACATTTTTACTGCAGTTTGGAGAGTCCCATGAAAAAACAATGCCAAGACATCAATCAAGCAGCCCCGCTTCAGACAAAGCAAATCAGCCACAGTAGTTTGTACTAAACAAACACTATAATTTACAGCATCCTAACAGGGTTCAGTTCAATACGTACAAACACATAGGTAGTACTGACTGTATAAATAACACAATTGGACAATGCGGTTTTCATAGTTCATAGGAAGACCAAACTCCACATAGTGTCAAAGTCATTCAATAGAAGAAATCAGTGTGCTACTTTGTTTCCTGTGGTGTCCCCTGCTTCCATCAGGGGCCCGTTTTAATGGCCACATGTTCATCCAGCTGATGTCTGGGCAGAGCCTCATAGTGTGTCACTGTCTCTCTCAGGGAGCTGTGACTGAGGGCTCGGCCTTTCAGGGTCTGGGAGTTGGCCGACAATATCTGTATTAAAAGACACAAATCATCAAAGAATGCATGAGTGGATGAAGAAAGCTTTGAAAGTATCAGATAAGGCCTTCAAGTTACTGACTGCGACCTTCCTACTGTACCATTGACAGGCAGGAAATCGTTTATTAATGCTAGAATGTTTCACCTTTTTTAGGATGCTTGGTGTGTCACATGTCAACATGAGATTTACATGATTTAATTAAAAGGTGTGCCTAGACCTGAACACTTGAGCATGAGCATTACTGGATGTTTGAGAGCGATAGAGAAAAATCTGATAACAAAACATCAACAAAGAAAAATGTAAAGCCCCTGGAAACTAAATGTTAAGTATTTGTCCAGAACATTAAATATTTGTGACTAAGCAACAATCAAAGTATAAAAAAACATTGTTAGGTATTATTAATTAAGAGCTTATGAACACCTAAACCCCCTATAAGGAACTTTGTGTTGATTCTGGGGCCCCCTGTGAACAAAAGCACTAGTGTTTCCACCTCCTCATTTGATTGATTTCAAGGGGAATCTGAAACCCCTTGTAGTAGGCTGGAAAAGCTCAGCTAATGCTTCATCAGGACGGTGTGGGTGTGGCTCATTGAGACATTTTATATGTTCCCATTATTCACTATCAGCCAATCAATGCCAATCTATCTGTGATAAACTAAAATATAGCTCTGTTTTGAATAAAAACTTAACAACGTGTTGATTCTTTAAAGATGTACTATCTATAACCAAAGCTTACCTTCACCAGCACGTAGTCTCCAGCATTGACCGGTGCAGTGTTGGATTCTGCATTCTGAGCAGCAACATCCTCTTTAGGGAAAATCACTTTTATATTACCGTCAGTTCTCCCACACAGGTCCTTGGCAGATCTTTTACTTTCCTGCATAAAATGGAAACCAGAGATGAGCGTTGTTGCCTGGTAACAGGTTACAGTAACCCAGTACAGTTATACAAGACTACTAGCCGTATCCATGGTGAGCAGTGTTACTCATTACTAAACCAATTTCGGTATTTCTATAGGAGCCAATCATTTTCCGGTAGGCCTAATTTTGACTCTCTATGATTGACTTTTGAATGATGCAGGGTTCATGATGATATTTGTACACTCCACACTAGCTCGCTTTCATGTAATTCATGTGAATCTCATGGTGGCACTAGAGGATCAACAGAGACATTAGGAATCACCTTTAGGGCAGCATGAATATGTGTACGTTTAATGGTAATCCATCTTATAGACCAACACACCGTTACTGAGCCAGGCCATCTTTAGAGCAACGCCACGGCTAAAAACAATAAAACTGTTGTTATTCTGCCCTTTCTGCTATTACACCATTCTTAAAAAATAGCCAGTGCCATCTCAAGCTGAGCTATCTTTAACACAGGTAGCTGTACAGAGAGGCAGCAGTACCTTTTTCTGGGGAAGATTAATAAAAATGTTTGTTTGAGCAAACTGTCAATTCATGCATTTTCTAAGGGGGGTGAAGGACGGATCAGCCGTGCTTGCAGTACTCACTCCCTCCACCAGGACAAGCTGTGTGCTGCCAATGAGAGCCGCGTTGACCCTTGCAGCTTCCTCTCTGAATACACGGTAGCACTCCGCCAGCCTCTGCTGCTTCACCTCTGCTGGCACGTCATCTTGTAGCCGATGGAAGGCGTGGGTTTTCTGAGCGAGGAAACCAGCAGAGCAGTTACAAAACAAACTACCTGACCGACTGAAAAGAATGCTTGATAATAACAGCTGGTTTTCATTCTAAGATACAGAACGTCTTTTGCGCCCACCTTTCTCATACTGTAAGCAAACAGGAAGCCCACGCTGAAGCCCACCTCTCTGATCAGAGACAGAGTCTGCTGGTGGTCGTCCTCTGTTTCTCCACAGAAGCCTGAGATGAAGTCACTGCTGAGACTCACCTCTGACACACAGACATATTAATGTTAAACAGAGATCACTCACTACTTTCTCAAGTTGGTAATACCAAAGCAAATGCCCTTAAAGTCAGATGTAAGTAGAAGTAATATTCCTCACTGTGTGCAAGTGCAAGAGTTGAAGTTAGAGAAGTTACTGTTAATCATAAACTACTGATTAAAGTGAGACCCATAAACAGGTTACATTCCACCTTTTAATACTGATCTACTTTTAAGTGTTTTGACTTCTTCTTGAGTAAAATACTCGAGTACTCTTTCCATCTATGCAAATTAAAGGAACAAATTAAAGCTGGGGCAGGCAGCTTTTTTTGGGGCATCATTGGGCAAAAATCCCATAATAACCTTTCAGCATATTGTAATTCTGAGTGGTCTGAGAAAAAACTACACTTGTGCACCTCCTAGCCTGTGACGGAAGACTCTGTGTGCAATCGCGGATTCACTTCATACAGAGGGCGTTCCTATTGGCTGCCGTTAGAACTTGTGGGTTGAGTGGGAGGGGCTTAGCAGAGTGATACGAGGCAGAAGGTTTTGCATAGGTTTGTCCACTGCAGCTTTAATTCTGGTTTTCATAGCCTACCTGGGATAATCCTCTTGATGTTCTTCACCAGGTCAAGGTAGGCCTCTCTCGTGTAGCTGTACATTTGATAAGAAAAGCACATGTTAGAATATTTTAAGAGACTCTTAAACAAACTTTTTCCAGCTGAATTACTTTGGCAATTTAGTTTGGAAACAAGCATAGTCGTCTCTTACCCACGGCGCATTGCTTTTAGGACCTTGCTGCTCCCACTCTGGGCCGGAAGGTGGATCTGCTGACAAATGTTGCCTCGCTCCGCAATCAGATGCAAAACCTGTCGACACCAGTACACAGACCAGGTCAGGAATATACAGAACTGTACAACGAACGGGGGCCGTCTATACTTGGAAAGCAACACTGGCTTGTAATAAGGACTGAATCATGTACCTCGTCAGGGAAATCTTTGGGATGAGGGGAAGTGAACCTGATCCTCATGTCAGGATCGATGCGGGACACTCGGTCCAGCAGGTCGGAGAAGCGCAGACCGCCCTGCTTAGTTCTGTAGACGGTCTTAAAGCCCCGGCTGAGCTGGGTCAGGTCTGAGCTGCAGAACTGTTCTTCTGACGTGTCTCTGTAGCTGTTCACGTTCTGACCCAGCAAAGTCACCTCCTTCACACCCTGAACAAAAACACCCAGCGCACACACACAGTCAATCCCATTCTAGTCTTGCTATCAGTGCATGTCTTCCTGTATTAAACAGGTGTAGCAGTTTAGCTGGCCGACTTCAGTGTTGAGCTTATAACTCGCCTGTTCCGACAGCATACGAACTTCCTCAAGTATGGAGCTGACAGGTCGACTCCTCTCTCTCCCTCGGGTGAAGGGAACGATGCAGTAAGTACACATGTTGTCACAGCCTCGCATGATGGACCTGGCAGCATAAAAGATGCACACTAAGTCATCAGAGGTCGTAGTATAAAGACAAAGTGTTGCAGAAGAAAACAGGAGGACAGCAGTTGGTGATATAGGGTGAGTAACTTCCTAAACATAGCTGCTAGGTGAACAACGTACACAAAAGCACTGCGTCCCTGAGGAGCGTGGTGGACAGGCATGACGTCAGCGTAGGTCTCCTCTAAGGACAGCAGCACGTTGCTTGCCTGTTGACCTCCGTCAGCTACAGTCAAGAGGCGGGGAAGGTCCCGGTAGGCGTCTGGACCTGCGAGAACATCTACCAGCTTCTCCCGCTCCAAAAGCTCCGTCTTCAGCCTCTCTGCCATGCACCCTAAACACACACAACCACCAATGTGTCTGTGTAGCCTCCGTTGAGAGTGAAATGTGTGCACTATTGTGAGCTAACTTACCTAAAATCCCAATTTTCATTGGTGTGTGGGTCTTTAACCGTTTCTTCTTCATCGCTGTCAGTTGTTTTAGTCTATTCCAAATTGTTTGTTCAGCTTTTTCTCTGTCAAGAGAAGAGTTGGAGTCTCTCCGTTAGCTGATGATTTCATGTGTGTGGTCTCCTGAAAACCTTGCATTGCCTATTTTAGCAGATGAAGCGCGCTGCGGCTGAGCACCGAGAGAGACTGTCAACGCACCAAGGGGACCCAGACGTTCTGATGTCGCGCGTTGTGGTGGACTCTGGCCGCTGTATCTGTTGGCGTGTGGTGGAGGCAGAAAGCAGGGGCGACATGCGTGAGAGCGTCAGCTTTGGGCTGCTGGTAGGAAGAGGATGGTGCCAGACATGTGGTCCAGCGAGAGTGTGGGCTCGACATAGTTCAGGTGTAGCCAAGATTAAGATGCTCAGACAGGAGTGAAGGCTCGTACTATGAGATAGAAGTCGTTACGTGTTTGAAAGTATCGAGCCGTTATGGGAGCACGTTACCAGGAGGACAACATCTGCCTGTAGGCACAATGATTATTTTAAACAGCTGTTTTGACTGAAATGATGTTAAAACTGTATAGGAATAAAGTTCTCCTGTACCTCGCTTAAGTCCACCGTGCGCTGATACCCCTTCCTCTGTAGGATGGACCAGGCAATCTCTGTGTCGTTTACATTCATTTGACATCCATAGGTCTCAAAATACACTGCAATATTCAGACAGAACACAAGTTTAGCATTGGTCCCAAACAATCTAAATGAATTTCAAAGCTGTCAGTGATGCAGACTAACCTTTCCTTGAATTCCCCATCTCCAAGTCCTCAGACAGATAGCTATGTCTGTCACACTCTCCATCTGCAGCATAAGTCTTGTTAGTAACTGAAACTCCTTTGATGAAATCCTGGAAGCTTGGACCAGAGGATATCTGGGACTTGAACTTGTCTACAGTTGTCTTCCTCTCTCTTGAAGTCACACTGGTGTTAGCTAGATTAGAACAATGTCTGGGGTGGATACACCTGATGGGTACCCAGTGTGGGGGAATGGAAAACAGGGGTTTTAAAGTACTGAGGAGCCCCATGTTTAGTTAGCTAGGTAGGCTCTGAAGCTATCTGTCGTTGTTATACCGTATACTGTAGTTAACTAATGTTAACCTACAAAGTAGCCAACGTTTGGTCCTTGTTTATCTTACTGTACAACTGCTGTATGTGCTGGCTACGTTGGATAAATGTCAACCAGGGTTACTGCTCATGTGGAGCCAAAGAGGTCTGAATGTCAAGAGGAGTATCTCCCCGTTTCAAAGGGACGTTATGGGAACCCGGGAAAAGCGTTTAGCTGTCAAAACTATGAACGCTGCCAGGTAATAATGACAGTTTGGGTGACTGTGGAAGACGTCCTGCCTTATAGCAGCTCATGTTCAACTACACCAACTATCATGGAGAATATTTGTGCTTCACATGAACGGCCCGCGCGTCAAACAGATGCCACTGTTCCTTTAAACAATTTACAGACATGGCGTCTCGAGCCACTTTTCCCAGACGATGTTATTGTTGCACTGTTGGGTTGAATTATGAGGCCCACGACAGAAAACATGACGGTGTAGTGCTGAACTATGTCCCGCTCAACAAACATGGAAGTAGACGACAGATAGTCCTCTCACATCGCCGACAGTCCGTTTGCCAAATATGTCCCCCGGTACGTCCAATTTCTCGGTCCGTCTAAAAAAAAAAAAGAAACTACTTGACGTCATGAAAACGTTCCGGACGCGGACGGAAAGCTCCGAAGTGACATTTTAATAAATCGATTCGTCTTGAATCAGTGTCAAAAGCTGGGCACTTATTGGTGGGAGAGATGCGGTTCACACTTATTTTTCACGTTATGGTGCAAAACTGGGATCCGAGGATGAGGGGTGGGGGGAGGGGAGGAGTGTGGCAGCTTCAAAGTAATAAACAGTTCCATTTTATATTATTTAACTTCTCCTCATAGAAATAATCCCAGTGCCAGTCTGTGGCCCTGCAGTCAATGGCCTAATAGTCAATGAAACATAATGTCTTTTCTAAAAATGTGTCAGAGAGCTGTTTATTCAAATGTTTATGAGGTCATATGTGTTTTTCACTTTTGTATATGTTTCTGTATTGTTTTTGTTTATTTGTTTGTTTTTCCCACCAGGTTAATGGACAAAATCCTTTGAAATGAAGGTCAATAGATGTGTTTGTATTTCCTTAACAATCAATGGCTGTAGACACATTATTTTAAGGAACAATTTGCATATGGCTGCTAATGTAATTCTGTTCTCAAAGTTACATCTAATTTCATTTTCAACACTGTAAACTCATCCTGTCACATTTGTACTTTTATGTCTTATTTGTTGTATATTAATTGTTTGCAATAATTCGTTTTTCTTTCAATATAGTATACTATGTATTAGTAGTATGCCATTTATTTTTTTTACCATTTTACCACCCTTTTTTCTACATTCTATATAATTATACTTATATTGTAATTCCTGTTGTTCATGCCAGTAAAGCAAACTTGAATTTGAGAAAGCCAGACAAGGAGAAAAAGAAAGAGAGAGCATGCAGACAGCTCAGCTCAAGGAGAGAGGGAGAGAGGGAGAGAGAGATCATGTGTGATGTGGGAGTGACTGGGAGCTACAGGTTCAGTATAAACTGACCATGGATGCAGGGGTAACAAACAGAACTGTTCCACTGTTTCTTTTGTCCGGTCCTCTTCTGGCAGTGAGGGATGATGAGAGTGGAGGGCACCAAATAAAGAGGAACTGCAGGGGCTCTCAGAATCCGAAATCAGATCTGAAATATCTCTATCTAACTCTTCCACCACGTGTAAAGGTAATGAGTATATGAAACATTTTTCATGCCTGTTCTTTGACCGGTTTTAATATTTTAAATGAAATGTTGGTGTTTTCCATCATGTCTCAGCCTGCTGCAACTTCAGTGCCTTGTGCAGAGCGATGAGCCTGGTTGAGAGGGGAACTGTGGTTTCAGCGTTTTTTCTAATGTAATTTCTACTCCTGTCATTTATTCTCCAGGACTAGCTGTGAGGATGGAGAAATCTGCACTGCTGCTGTTTTGTTGCCTGGTCATGTCTTTATCAGGCTCCCCGCTCTACCACCCATCCATTAGGTAAGTCCTGACAGATTTACTAAAATTCTTCATGTCGTCTTCATTACCAATACCTATTTTTAGTCTTGATGTTTTGCAGTGTTTTTAAAGTTATTTAAATCCTTTATGACTGGTCAACCCAGCCGTTCAGATCTGTAGACGCCTGAAGCTGGCAGCAGAAATACTCAAAAGTAGCTAAAGAATATTATTTTGAATTTATGACATTATTAATAGAATTCTGACCAGGTCAAACACACAGAATACACTGTGTGGATTCTCTGTGTCGTTAAATGTTGCTGAGCTTCTGGGAACAGCTGAAATTGTTAGAAAGCTTTAAATAGAAAACATAAAGTGACCTTAAAAGAAATATGTTTGATTTGAGAGTTGGTTCCAGTGTTAGGGCTGAAAGAATGGTCGCATCCAACATCCGTGATGTTTTAAACCTTTCACTGATTACTTTACATGTCAAAGCTGTGCCCTCTGCACTGTTATGCTAAAAAGGGTCAAGATGTCCGCATTAGTCACCATGTTACATTTACACATAGAACCTTAATCACACTGTCCTCTGCCAAAGCAGCAGAATATCTCATTTTACAAGAGCTAGAGTATATATATTATTTTATTTAAAACCCATCTTCACCAACTAAAGTCTGTAATAATTAAATCACTTTCTGTTCTAAGTAGGAATTAAAATGTATTTACTATGGTATAATGTGTGTGGAGATATTGGAATATTCTACACTCATTTGGTTAACGGGGATATTTCTCAGGTTCGGCCAGAGGGATACATCCATCCTGATGACATCTTCTATAAAGAATCCAGCAGAGCAGCTGGAGGAAGACACGAGCCCCCCCAGGGAGCGAGCAGAGTTACGGTCAGTTTGTCAATAGAGACTGAGTGGCTGATCTAAAATACAGCTTAAGCAGCAGTTTACCTAAATTAAAAAAAAACATTTTTTCTCACTTACCGTCAGTAGGATCTAACAGTGCAAATAGACTTGGTTCATGCCTCCAAGGTTCCTGCCTCCACCACAATACAAAGGAGGTGAATGGATCTGCTTTTATGGTGCTCACAGCAGTGAATTTACATACTAAAAGAATTCAACAGCAGCATGTCCTTTCAGAAAAAGTGTACCAGTTACTCCAGATAATTCACAGACCTGACTGGGCACAGATTTTATAGGGACTGTTTATTTTTTACAAAGAAAGTTGATCACAAGAAGGTAAGATAGAAGGATATTTCAACATCTGGGCGAATAAAACCAAAATGATCTGCACATCTGGACCATTGGTTTTAAAGGACCAGTGTGTAGGATTTAGTGGCATCTAATGATAGAGTTGCAGATTGAAACAAACTGAACACTGTTCATGTCTGTATTTGACAACCTGGGAATGAGTACGAGCTGTGAAGTGTGTAGGAGAAACATGGCCATGAAAAACAGAAACATGATGGTTCAACATGGCGGACTCTGTAGAAGAGGACCTGCTCCCTCTGTAGGTAGCGAAAACACAACAATTCTTATTTTTAGGTGATTATACACTAATGAAAACATTACCTATTGAAATAATTAAATTCCATTTCTGACAATATATCCTCCTAAATGTTACACACTGGACCTTTTAGTGAAGAAATGTGTTTTTTTTATAATTTGGTGAACTGATTCTTTAAGCTGGACAGTGGACCTTTTTCACAGCAGCCATTTTGACATGAAATAGTAGGGTAAACACAGTACCAATGATACTAATTAAGGTTCTATTCCATTTAGTGTAGCAGAGCTTTTCCAGAGAACCAACATGCACAATAGCAGCACCCAGACTCTGTTTGAGTGGAACAAAACTTCAGTTAGTATCACTAGTAACACCGGTATCTACCCTACTATTTATTGTGAAAATGGCTGCTGTGAAAAAGGTCTATTGTAAATTGACTGCAATGAGTCTTTTACTAGTGTAGTAATACTGTCGTGTAGTAAATTCTCCACCTTCTGATTTTAGCTCAGGACGCCACGCTGATGCCATCTTTACAAACAGTTACAGGAAAGTCCTGGGCCAAATCTCTGCCAGGAAGTTCCTTCAGACGATCATGGGCAAACGGCTGGGGTAGGTAGCACAGGAGGAATGTAACTTCAGTCTGCGTACCCAAAAGAAGCAACGCTGCGTGTTTTCAGGGCACCGACAGGAATACACAATGAAACATACTGTATATAACTGATGTTTTTTGTCTCCACAGAGATGAAAGCTACATGAAACGTCAGTCGGATATTTATGAAGGGACCTATAAAGAAGACCTTACATCCATCCAGAGCAACCAGAGATACAGAGGTGTGCACGGGGATGTCACGAGGTCAAGGTAAATAAATACAATACCTAGCCTGAAGCTAAGAGGTCCATTAAAAGCCTTCAGAAATAACAAGTCCTTCACTAACTGAGTCTTTCCTCTTTACAGGCTGCTGAGTTGAGATTGGTGGATCAAACACACTGAAGCTCCTCGCTGCTGCACTATTCATAACCATCACTGCTTCTTTTCTTATACTCCCTCCGACCTGTTCTTTACACATGGAAATGATATTGTCATTTTTGTATTGCCATTAAAGCTGTGAAGAAAACCAGCAGCCCAGCTCATCACTGTGGAAGAAATGCCACTGAGGAACTTCAGTTGCAATTTTTCTTTAACAGACATACTGTAACTGCTGCTTAAACCTACTACAAGGGATTTTTAAGTGGTTAAGAAACGGTATTAATTTCATACTGATACCTCTGTATGACCTACATAAACAAACAAGACCATCAGCAAGTAGATGGTTATTTCTGTATAGTTATTCTTAATGCCTGCCACTGGGTCGGATTCCCCTTAAAATCAATGAAGTAGGCAGTAAAAACACTACCACTTTTGTCCACAGGGGCCGCCAGAATCAACACAAAATGAAAATTCTTCATTGCTCCTTTAAATACCAATAAGGAATAATGATGAAATCTTGAACAACAATGTGATTTTTTAAGAGTCGAGGCTGTCTGAACCGGTGTGGTGCCGGGAAGACAGCTTGAGTATCTCTATTTTATGATTTACATAATAAACTACTACACCATCTTTCAAAGGAAACTATTGCACCTTTTTACACCACTGTGTGTGTTTGACAGCTGCAGTTATTAGATACTTGGATGAATTAAATTGATTAAATGAGCTGTGGGCCTTCTATTCAGTCACCCACTTTGCACAATTAGTCAGCCTTGAAAACATATAACCACATAAATACAATGTATTGACATTTATTAAACTACCAACGGTATAAATGTGCTCCCCCTCAATCAGCAATATTGTTGCTTAGGCAACAATGCATCAGTTATATTATCCAATAATATATGTAATGATGTAACACTGAATGAGCCATTCTGCACAGTATTTTTACATGACACATTGTGGCGTATTCTGCTCATAATACATGTACTTCAAGAATAGCGTGGATATTTTGAAACCTCTGGAAACTTGTATTTGTTTATAACTACGTATTTCTGAATAAATAAGCAGCAATCAAAGTTTAAAAAAGCATGTTATGGCTCTATTTATTAAAAGTCAGCTAATCTGCTTCATCAGGGCTGTGTGTTTCTGGTTTGACTTCCCACAGTCATCAGATTAGGATTCAAATGTGTTGAATTCTGATTGGTGCACGGAGGTATGTGACATCACGTTTTCCATCTGAGCCCCACCCACTTCAAACCAGTAAAAATAGCTCAGACAAAAAGATACAGAATTCTCTCATGTGATAAACTGCGTGTCCACGTAACACATCACTCGTAATAAGAGGCTGATTGAGGAAATGTGTTTTCAGGAGCGTTACAGGTGTTCTCACTTGTGTAGTCTGATTAGACATCTCTTCAGGATTGTGAGTGCTCACAGACTGCGCTTGATATTTTCCCTCACTCTCCTGTTAGGTTCCTGGCACCTGTTTGCAAAGAACCCCTAATTGACCTTTTTCACAGAACGTTTTGGTTCATCACAGCTGGGATTAAAGTAACTGACAAAGAAGAAATAACACCTCTGTGCTCTCATAAATGAGAAGTTCCATTCATGAGCAGTAAAACACACCCTTGCTCAGTTTAATACCCTCTGGTGTTTGACTGCTGCAGCCCGAGTTGGTCAGGTGTGGCTAGCATAAGCTAACTTTACATAGATTGAATAACAGGTATTACAAGTCAGTTTGCTTAATGCTCTACATTCCACTGATTTAGTACACCGTAAAACATGTCTGTAGACTTTACAGTGAAAAACTGTCAAATCATGACAGTAAAAGACTGTAAACTCTAAATAGATTAAATGCAATTAAATAAGTAAAACACAGTCATATCTGGCGGCAAAATCTTTATCGATATGGCATTGTAAAGGAACATTTTTTTATATTACAGACTGTTAAATTGCAGTTAACAGAATGCCACCGTGTCATGGCAAAACTGTTTCTGTTAATGGTAAAAACTGGTATTTATATGGTAGAATATGGAATAAAACTCCAACTTAAAACCAACCCCACTTCTCCAGGTATATGTGTTACAGGTATGTACAAGGGTTGTTGGTTGCTCTATGCTTCTCCATACTGGCCATAGAGAGATTTCCTCCTAACACAACTACAAAATAGGGACAACACAATTTTCAGTCTGTACAAAGATGCATTCCAAATTACGCTGAAGTTTATATGATGCTTCAGTAGTCCAAGTTATGGTCTTTTGAGTACAATATGTTACTGACGCTCCTCAGAAGCTCAGCGAGAAAACACAAAGAGGGAATTTCAAGTATTTTCTAGTGTTACTGATATTTTTGAGTCTGAATAACCTTCTTCCTCTACTGGGTTAACGATTAGATTGCAACAGATTCTCCCGTGTCTCCACTAAATTGTTTGAATCCCTTCAAAAGAAAAATGTTGTAGGTTTCTACTAAATAAAGACAATACACATAGATTCACCTCAAATTCTTTATTTCCTCTTCTTCATTACAAAAACCTCATATCCTCAAAATTGCCCATATTTTATTATTAACCTTTTTTTCGGGGGGACGCTGACGCTGTATCAAATAGGAGACTACCGCTCCTCCTACACATCTGATGCACCAAACAGGCAAACACACTGGCACAGTGACAGTGCTGCTGCCAACGGTGTTTTACCAGCTGAGACATGGCGACAGCTTCTGTTACGAGGTGAAATGGGCACTGAGCAACAACAGAGAGGAATGTACAAAAAAAACACACAGATCAACCAAAAAGAAACCTCAAATAAAAATCCCAGCTCACTTAGAAAACACTGGCATGTTGGACAATAAGAAAACAAATCTCACAGGAAGATGAAGTGCAATGATCAGTAGCTTTACAGTGCAGGGTATCTGTCAGTGAGCGTTTGTCCTCGGGAGGCGCTGCGATATCTCAATTTCTTCCGTTTTGGCAACACAGACAAACTGCATGTTTAAACTGTTGATTGGATTCTTGAACTGCCACGCCGTGTTTAAAGTCCGATTTGATGCATCGTTGAATGACTCCTTGGAAACAAAAAATGAGCTTCATCAGTGTCTTCTTTTAATTTTCTCTCTCTTATTTTTTCTCAATTCTGTGGAAGAGATTAAAAAGGCAAACATTAGTTTTAAAAAACGCATGCACAAATTAAAAACCTTTATTTCACACCTGATCTTTGACATGAAGTCATGTAAGGGGTCGATCATGCATTTCAATGTGCACCCCCTCCAGGACAAACAGAACGGGGGACACACTCTCATGACAAATGTCTTAAGATCTGGACGACTCATGAACACAAAAACATGTCACTAATGGCACAACCAGGACCACGGGTGTTAGACCACGATGGAGGGATTAGCAAACGCTGGTATGGCTATGGCTAGCAATGAACATGGTGGGATGAGTAAGAGGCAAACTGTGGGGAGGGGGGGCGGGGGCAAGTACACGTGAACACTCTGGAGTTAGAATGAGTGAGCACCACACAGCCATGCACGTTGCCAGCCACTATGAAATGCACTGTGGATGCAGTCTGTGAGGATGCCCTTACTTCAGCCTGGATGCACGACCGACTCATTTGTTACAAATGGGGGGGCTCTATCGTAGGCTCCTATACTTTGCCAACCTACTACTTTGCTCTGCGGCAATCCTGAAAAAAGTAAAGAGAGAGCGAGGTGTGGATAGAGGGGTTAAAAAGACACAGGCACCAGCTGCAAGGAGACAGAGACTAGCATGAAAGAAGGGAAGTCCTCACTGGAGAAATGACATTTGTGAAATCACTAATTGCTAAATTCTACGTGCTTAAAAGGGTTAAATGGGCTGTCGTAAAGAGCAAGAAGTAGAAGTGAACAATTACAGTGACGTCTTGAGTCAGTGACACAGGCTACAAATTGCTCACTCTGGCCCTCTGAGGGCTCTACATATTGATGGTGAAGAAATTGCCCACTTAGATCATCACTCTTGCTGATCTTGCCGCCACGCTTCTCTCATGGTCCAAGTAGGCACGAGCTCTCCTCCTGGCAGAGAGTCTGGCATTGAAATCAGCCTCTGGGGACCAGCTGAGGAGCTACCGATATGGAGAAGGCACTCTTCCTCAGGTTTAAGGCTAAGAACTACCAAGAGGCCTCAAAGCATCCGAGTCCTCGTCGTCTGAAAGGGGGCTAGGCTTTCTCTCTGGGATTAAGGACTCTCTAGGGACTATTTGTGCCCGGCACCATCGGGAGACGTACCTCTTCACTGCTTTCTGGGCCAGCATGCGGTTCCCGGCGAGGAAGGTTACACCGCCGATAATCGCCAGGTACTTCAGAGTCTGGAACATGTTCAGGTGGGTCCAGTAGACGTACATCAGGCCCAGCAAGGCTGAAATGAAGCAACATTAACATCTAAACAAAACAGCTGCTACACTGTCAACATATACAGTCTAATGTAACATACTGTATGTCAGTGCAGTAGTGGGTGGGGGGCTTTAAGGACAGACCAACATTAATTTTGTTTTCTTTGTTTAGAATTGTATATTTTCATTAATATATTATCTCATTTTTATATTTTGTTTTTCGACACCTTTAGGATACAGGCCACAGTGGGCCAAAGGAAAATCAGACTGCACAGTAAAAGCTGCTTGGTTTATAGCTTTTCATAGAGAGGGGAGGCTCGCTGATGCATCAGTTGCAGGGAAAACTATCAAATGGTGCCAAGTAAGCTCAAGAGACATCTTTAGCCAGAAAAGATATTAAATACTTCAAGTCAAGAGAGGTTAACAAACCCAAACAGAATCAATTAATGCCATGAAAAAGGGGGTGTGATGGTTTTAAAACCCCCTTTAAAGCCCCCTGCAATGTAATCTTCATAGATATTAACAGAAATATTTGTGGAATCAAATTTATATTGTTTTTTGTTCATGTATTACAATTTGAATATGGAGTTTTTTTGGTGCACATTCCCAACGCCACAAGCTGTCGCGCCATTTTAGACATAAAAAATTACAGCAAATGAAAACCTCAGATCTGTGTGGAGCGATGAGGAGTAACCTTTGTCACAATAATACATCAAACTAAATAGATGGATAAATAGATATTTCCATCGTGTTTTCCATTGTTTGTTTATGTCATCTCGTTGAGCCACTGACGCACCAAACTCCTAATATTCATAGAACAGTAGTGAATGGAAACGCACATTAGTTCCCCTTTTCTTTTACCAAAATTTGCCCTAAGTTGCAAAGCTAACTTAATGTTCTAGAGGTGTTGTGGTTGGGGGGGATTATTTCATAATGAGATTTTATGCGTGGAATTTCATGAAGAACGCATTGCTGAAATTGATCAGTCACACACAGTCATTACTGCAGTGCTTGTCATCCTGGACAACAGACAGATGAATAGTAGATGAGGAGGCTGTAGAGCAATCACATCTGTGATCAACATTTCACTTCAAACACTGGGACTAACCTGCGTGTCCTACGTGGAACAGAATGGTGCTGGGAGAGAAGCTGAAGTTGGAGATGTTGGCTCCGAGCTTAAACCACTACAGAAGAGAGGGAGAATGAAAGACAATGTGATTTTCATTCCCTGCGAGAGCTGCAGACAAAAGGGCTGAAAAACTGTTTACCACCTCACACACAATGCACTGATCCACTGCAACAATAACTATTACTCAGCACTGCAAATGCCAGGGGAAAAAAAATACACCGTAGCTTTTGTGATTTCAAATTAAAACAAGCATTATATTCATTCTGTACTGGAGCCTCATTCACTGCATGAGAAGGGTTCCCACTGAAGAGCTGTTATGGGGGGGAAAAACTAGACCACTGTGCTTACAACAATAATATATAACAAAGCTGAATGCTCTATTGAAAAGGGTTTTGATTAATAATGGAAGTAGGTTAGTTTTTAGGTGTGCCTTTAAATAAGATGAATAGTTTCTAAATCATTTCCATAAATAAGTTGCTCTACAGTTAAGCTGATAAAAAAAAACACCAATATTACCAGGATGAGCAGCAGCAGGAATGGGGACAGGATGAGTGCAGTGAAGGTATTGGAGACCACCGTGGGAGGCTTCTTCTCTGGTTCCCTGAATAAGTGCTGCAGAGACAAGAGGAGAGTTTAAACCGCTGGACTGAGAGCTACAGCATGCTGCTTTATTCCCCAGCATCAAGCAGTAATTCGGATCTAAAAAAAGGAGTACACAAGTATTACCTGGATCTCTGGTTTGGGTACATAGAGAGTCTTGGGCTGAATGGTAGCAGGGGCCTCCTCATCCACAAACTTCAGAATAACATCCGCCTTTTAAAAAGATTAGAATTCAACATTACAGCCGAATATCAACTTTTCACTGGCTCTTCACCACCGCCACCGAGTCTGAACAGACACTCACCACATTCCACAGGATGGGATTCTCCAGGGTAGCGTCCCCAACGATGAGGTAGAGGGAATAGGTACCAGAGATGGAGTCAAACTCGGATTTCCGCTCTGCTGTGTCCAACTCAAACTTGTACAGATTCTTGCTGTCGGGTTCAGCCACAAACACAACCTCTTGGCCAGTTTTCTGATTGTGCAGCCGGACAAAAGTCTGTGCAAGAGAAAACAAATAGTGTTCTTTAACATTAAGGCCTGGGAGCTTTCTCACCGGCCGCAGTGGTTTGCTGTTTGCGTGATTGTTCTGGCCAGTCAGATGTATAATAAAAACAGTTATATGCTCACAAGAGTGATTATGAAAGCAGATGAAGTAAGCAACAATGAACAGATTTTGCCACAGCTTTACGTGTGTATTACATACCTGGTGAGGTGTGAGCTCCACTCCAGTGTTGATGTCAACCAGCTGGAAGGACATAGCAAAGTTCTGGTGGCTGTCTGCTGTGAACGGGCTCTTGGATTTGGAGGGATAGTCAACCCTGGTTCATTTAAAAGACAAAAGCAATTGGTATTATATTGTTATGCTAATGAGTCCCTGAGAATAGGGCTTCACTCATCAAACTTGTCTCCTAACCTGCTGGTCTTTGTGCCGATGCTCTGGTCCTTATCCACCACAGAGAGGTCCATGTTAGTGACAGCCACTTCAGTGGACACCTTCACTTTGAGCTGCAGGCGGACAGAGTCACAACACAAAGTTACATCGAGTCACAGCAGCATACAAATCCCTAAACAAAGAGTGACTACAGTCATAGTCAGATTGGCACAACCTCCACATGTGACTCAACAATGGCACATTTTCATTTGTATCACTTTCTCCACTAAGGCAAATAAAGCCAAAGACCCAGTTCAAGTCCCACCACCCCACTCTCTTGTGGCTGTGTTACAATATGGTTGTAGCTGTCACTCTTGTCTTGTTGTCATGTTGTTCTTTTTCCATTTCATTTGTCCGTGCCATACATGCAATGGTTCATTTACTGTATTGTTTTTGTTTTGAAAATCCCATAAATAAATCATATATAAAAATTTTTTTATTAATTTAAAAAATAAAAGTTATGTCTCCATTACCGACCGCCACCTCACCTCAACATGATTGGCAACCAGCCGGGTATCTCCGGTCACTGCAACGGTAAACTGGTAATATCCACTGGCTGGCTGATTGGACATGAAGTTCAGTTCAAAGACCCCACTGAAAATCAGGGAAAAGAGAATAATACAGTGAATGTCCTACATAAACCAGGATGAAGACATACTGCCAACTGACAGAAATATATATAAATATATATAAATATAAATATACCGGTATACATATTATATATATATATATATATATATTTCTTCCAGCTTTTGGGGTCATTCATAGATATTCAAGCAGCGGGGAAGCTGGGTAAATAACGTCAGCAGACAGTTATGTCTCTAATGATACATACTCGTTGAGTGTGAAAGGTGCTAGGCTGAGTATGACGCTCTTGGAGGCCACAGCGTACGCAGACTCCACCAGCACGTTGGCTGAAGTCAGAGGCTGAGACATGACGTCAGTAACGAGGAGCTGTGAATCAGACAGAAACAGCGTCACTGCGAGGTGATGATTAAAGAGCATGCAGAGGACTGTAGCTGGGTCAGCTAACGTCTGTACCTGCAGGGTTGGCTGGCTGTGGGACACTGTGGCTGGGCCCTGAGCGCTGACAATGACCGGCACGTGGAAACGGTTGTTGGAGAGAGCGGCGGCGGCACTTGCAACGCTGAAGGCTTCGGCCAGAGAGTCCCAGGATTTCTTGCTGAAGATAGAGTTCACCAGCTGGATGACCTGGTCCTGTGGGGAGAGCACATCTTCCATCAGTTTCAGGGGGAGAAAAAAAAAATAAAAATAACACACAAAGACAAAACCTGAAAGAACCTGAGAGGCAGAAACCATACCTCCTTCAGAGGAGGCTCCATGTCCACATGATCTGACAGGGAGTAAGCAGCGGTGACAAACACGGCGGTCGCCTCAAGCCCCTCTTCAAACTGGAGGTAGATGCCACCAAGATCATCCAAACGAGCTGTCAGATCCTGAGAGGACAAAAAGCAAAAAAAAATGTGTTAAAGCTTCATTCTTCAGAGTCCAGTGTGTCTTGCTTTGAGCCAAAGAACAGAGACACAGCGCCACCTGGTGGAATTTAGAGAGCTCACCTCAATTTCCTCCAGGATCCCTCCAAGGTCTGCCTGCTGGGACAGGCGGGCTGCTGTTTGCAGAGCTAAGGTGATTCTGTCCAAAGAGAACATACATTGGTTGTTAATTAAACTGCTCGTGACCCCTGCAGGACCCTCCACCCAGAATGCAACTGCACCCCCTTAACCAACACGACTAACACTTACGCCATGACGTTGTCCTCCTTGTTGATGCGACCCGTCAGGGCACCAACAACTTCCTGGGAAGCCAGAGGAAGCCCCAGAGAGCTGAGTGCGCTGACGGCGCGGTGGATCTGACTCATGGTGGAATCTTCACTAACTGCAGCCAGGAGGATGTCCCGGGTTTCATTGGACACGGGGATCTAGGAAGTGAACAAAAATCTCATATAAAGTTCAGCACTTGAGGGTTCACATTATATACTGCATCGTCCACTCAGGTCAAACTAATGCTCTTATACAGTTATTCTACTATAACTGTAATCACATGAAGGATTGCTTTAACATCTTGACCACGAAGCAGTTATGTGTAAATCAAATACCAAAACAAAATGAGGTCTTCTTAATATCTGCAAAAATGCTTTTAAATATAGCAAATGGCAGTAGGGCTTTCTTACCTCACATCCTGAAATGGCCCTACTGGTCTCAGCAGCAAAGAAGAGAGAGTCTATACTGGTTGGGTCAAGCTGAGATTTAAGGAACTGGCAGACTCCCTGCAAACAAACACACATTTAAGCAAAAGAACATGGATATTTCACAAATGGTTATTTCAATACACATTCTTCTACATCAGAATTACTAGCCGCATAATGGAGGGGGGGTTCTTACCTTGTGGTCGGGAACAGTGGCTCCAAGCTTGGTCAGACCAACAACAGAGTAGTATGCGGACTCCAGGTCGGTGAACTGTTGGCTCAGGAGGTTCTGTAGTCGGCCCACATCAGACAGGGAGAGGTAGTGCGCCGGTGTGAGCGCCTGAGCTCCAGCAGGAGCCAGGCTGAGGAGGAGGAACAACCCGAGCAGCCCTGCGGACACACAGCAAACACAGTTAACCTGCCGGCTGGTCCACAGGTGTGTTTATCTCTTACCACCGAGGAGAGGACACAATACTACGGGTTTATAGTTGACTATCTCTGGTGACGATAGGTATTCATTCATTCATTGAGACAACGCTCGCTCCTTCATGCAGCTAGCGAGGCGAGCTAGCAGTCGTAAGTAGGAAGCGACACACTGCGTGCACCGTGTGCTATTTCTTTCCTAAAATTAAATTAAAAAACCTATTCTTGAATAACTTACTAAAGGTACACAACGCCAGGAACACACATAACTAACACTATACTAGATATTTCAGCAGTAATTCACTTACTAGACCGGTCCATGTCTTGCAGTCTAATGCAGCGTCACCAAAACCGACGAAAGCTTCCGGTGTCTCAGAGAGCGAGCTGTCATCAAGAGTATCATATCCGGTTGTACAACTCACATTTCAAAATAAAAGCGGTGTTTCTTTTTTTAAAGTACACGTATACACAAATTTAGTCAATGTGCCATTTCATAATAGTAATGATGAGTTCATTACAATTGTGTTTCCAATTTATTTACATAATTGTGTTAATTAGTACGCAGTGGCATGTTTCATTTTATAAACTGGCATATTTATAATGTAAACCATGTAGGATGTTTTGTTACACTTGACATAAATCGTGATATGTAACACATGCTCCTAATAGAAGGTTCTGAACTTCTGTGCATTTAATCATAGCAGATAAAGTTGAGATTGATATATCTGATAATCTCAAGCAGGCTACAGATCCCCAAGACATGATTAAACATATTTGTCCATGTGAAGGTATTTCCTAGTTCCTAGTTTCCAAGTACAGAAACAGCAGGCGAATGCATTATAAAAACACCCTTTATCATTTGATAATACACTATTAACACAGACACTCCTGTGTTGAGCACAACCCGTTATAAAACTACAACCAGTCAAAAGTTCAGTGACAGGCTTATGTTAGATATACAGTACAGTGTAAAGCTGCTTCGAGCTGTAGCGGCATAGTCAGGAGGAAATTGTGTATTGGAAATATTATTGCCATTTTATTACATCTCTTAACAAAATGTTGTAAGACAAAGTAAAAACATACACCACTTAGTATTTACAAACAGTGCTAAATAACAATATAATACCCTTGACATCAACACTGGTACACCTTCATGCCTCCATTACACCTAAACTACTTGGGTAGAGCATAAAACTTTCCCAAGTATATTTATCACTGTGTAGGTAGTGTGCTGCAGATTTCCAGCAGATGTCTAATTGAACCCAGATTCTCATTTTAAATGTGTACTGAGATGTATATTATAAATCTATACACATGCTAAACCGATCTTACAAGACAATGCTCACTTAACATTGTCAACATGGACACTTCATCTCTGAATTCACTCCATATTCAAGTTATACAACCTGAGTGTTTGTATTCTTCACTTTAAAAAAAAACTGTTACAGACACATTATGCAATGTAAAACCATGTCTTTTCAGTGATAGCAAAAGTATATAGCCGTGATTTTTTTCAATTTTACATTCATTGTTCTTTTTAAACATGTTTAAGTGACAACAATACAATTAAATGTGATCAATTGACTTGTTTGCCTAAGGCCACTGGAGTGGGACTACATCTAAAAGCACCATTCTCTCTCAAATTGATAGGACTGTATATTGTTTTGATTGCTAAGGACTTGTTCAAAAACTGTACTAAACCTACAGATGACATGTTCTTTTTTCCCACCACAAATAGCAAACAGTAAGGGACAAACAGCAACACTAAGTTGTGCGTGTGTAACATGTGGGTGTCTCAGGACAGAATCAGGGCCCGATTGGGAGCGTGGGATTTCAGTGAGCGAAGGTAGCGCCTTGCTTTCTCCGTCATTATGAGCTGGTCTTTAGTTTGGCCACAAACAACCGTCTCCCATTCTTTTGACATCTGAAGAAAGAATTTTTAAAAAAAAACGTTACGGTAGAATCAGGTCAAAGTAGAAAAGCCATGTTAGAAGACTTGATGAGGATGTTCATTCCTTTAGGGTTAAAAAGGTGGCACTTACCGGAATCGGGGGCACCGTGCTGGGAAATATGGCACCGTCACTAGGTCCCAAAAGGAAGCCCTGATCCAAAATATTTTCATGCTGCTTATTGCAAAATGACGGGGAGTTGAGACAAACTATCATGGGTTCTTCCTGTGGCAAAAAACAGAAGGACAAAAAGATTTAGCATGGGTCAAATCTAGGGACTGGCTGACAACACATTTATTTCTTTTTATTTCTTACCTTGATGCTGTGTTTGGCTTCAGTTTTGAGGCATTTGCGTTTGGACTGGCAGTCATCTAGGGCCAATGACTTCCGCACTTTCTTCATAGGAGGCCGATGCTGGAAGAAAAAAACAGCAAGAAAAAAAGAGTGTTAACAACAGCAAGTACAATTTCTGTCCAAAATAAAAGCAATAACAATAGGTGAGGGGGAAAAAAATGGCACACGCAAGCAAACACTGAGCTCTTTAGGTTCTGTTTCACTGCTAAGGTTCTAGCAGGGAAGCTCCAGCATATTAGTTCCAAGCATTCTTTAAAGGTGGTGGCAACAGAAGCTTAGACATTTCTGGTTGGGGGAAGTGAGTGAAGTAGAGATTTCACACCGAGTTGCTCCTGAGCCGCCGCCTGCTGACCAACAGTGGAAGACTGTCATTGTAATGCACAGCTCCAAGGTGTGAATCTGTGAAGCCGTGTGAAAACTGAAAACAAGTACTCAACATTCCCAGGCAGTTAAACAGACACACAGGCCAGTTACATAAACGCCTGAGGAGAAGTCATGAAGCCATGCTCTTTATTACTTTCTATACTAAGTCAAGCTTGAATTGTTCACTAAATGTTCTAATGTGGCAGCATACACCATTACACAAAGCCAGTCCCTAGCTGCTGTTACACTAGCTCCTGTAATTCAGTACATTTCCAGTGTTCTTCCTGAAAAATTGTTGTTCCAAATATTTACTATCTAGCTATAAATATATGAAATAAATGAGTATGAACTACAGTACTTGGTATTGGAATAAAAAAATGTAACTTTGTCTTATTTTCTTGTATCAGTTGGCTCTCTATGATCTCATGTGCGTGTTTCTGCAACCATGGTCACTATTAACTCCTAAATTAAGTCCTCTGCTTCTATGAATTTTAATTGAACCACTATACACCAACTATACACTAAATTGCATATAGCCATTAAGAGTTCAATCTGGAAGTTTATTTTATAACTCGCCTTCAATTTGTCTCTACTGCGACACAAGGTCTTTATACTTAAAGCTGCTGCAGTAAAGACATGTTGCAAAAATCAACTATATACTGCTGCTACGTAAGCCTTGAAGTAATATTAATCCATTTTAAAATGTACATCATTACTAATGTGAATGGTAAGAACACACAGAAGTAGAAAATGCAGAAACACCAACAAAGATTCGAGGGTTAAAGAAGGTGTTAAATATTAAAGTTGACTCGTAGTTACCATCGTTTTGCGTCTTTGCTCAGGCGGAGTCGAGCAGACGACAACCAGGTCCATCCCAGCGTCTCTTAGGATGACCTCGTTTATGTCGTCTTCAAGGTTTGGAGTCTGGGGCTAAGATTCCACACACACACACACACACACACACACATTATAGTGTTAATGCAGTGTTGATAAAGGCATGAACTGAACTCGTTGCTTTTCACTGACAGGTACAGATGCTCACCAGTGGCTGCAGAGGACCGTACTTCTCCATGGCATTTTTGAACGGTGTGGGAGTCCGTGGGGTCGTACAGAGATCGGACTTGTGGTTGGGAGTGACGAATCTACAGGACAACAAAAATCTAATTCAAATCCAGTACTGAATCAGAATCATTTTGTATAGCTTATTATTAGGTTAACATTTCCACATCTGCCACTAGCTAGTGTTCACGACTGACTGGATCCAAAAATGAAAGCAGCTATCAGAACCCCTCCACTCACGCTGAGTTTTCCTTCTGAGTGAGGGGGGTCTTGTCACGCTGTAGCGGCGTAGTTACAATGGCTTTCTGGCTGCACACCGGCGTGGACGTGAGGGACGGGTTCTCCAGGTCATGAGTGTCCTGCTTGGTCCACATGTTGAGGAACTGGAACAACACACGTTAGTTGGTTAGACCGTCTCATGTGACGTCGCGAGCAGCACCAAAGTCACAGCGGCGGGATCAAACGACTTACTTGAGACGGAGAAAAGGGCAAGATTTTGACAGGAGTGCTCTTGGGAGTCATGGAGTTATTGGCGTCGGGGGACAAGGCGATGCGTCTGCGGCTTCGGCGGTTCAGTATGGAGGGCGGCGTGACCCCTCCGGGAGAGATGGGGATGAGTTCCCCCTTGCTGCCTTTGCTCAACTCCTGCAAGGCGCTGCCCTCCAGGCGGAACTGGTGGCGCTCGGGGCTCGGACTGTCCTCTGGCAGGTCAAAGGCTGCGAGGTTGCACCAGCCATCGATGTCCTGACAGCAGAGGAGACATTTTAGTTGGATGTCTAGCTACTACTACAAAATGTTATACTCAGCTGCCCTTTAAAATGCCTTTTTTGCTCTTGGATGAGTATGGAGGGGTAAGACAGTAAAAGGTCATAAAAGTTAACTTAATAGAAAATAAAACAATGTTAACTAGTTAAAAGAAGGTTATATCGTATAATAATGACAATATGATAAAACAGCACAACTGAACTGTGTATAATTCAACCAGGGATCCTATAGTTCTTAAGAAATTGTTTCCCAGCCATAGATTCATCATTTATGAGACACTCCACTCCCGAATTGACTAGTTTCCCTCCAACTGTAACATTTATTTAGCCACAATGCAGGCTAAAATACAATAAAAAT